GCGGCCCGTGACTTCAAATGAAGAATCAGAAGATTTTGGCTCGAGGCCTCGATTAAGATTGGCACATTATCTTATTTTTCTTTTTCATGTTAACAAGGGCTGAACAAATATTCCTAAAATAGAAAATGTTCAGTAACATGTATGTTTTTTTTTTTTTTTTTTAAATCTACAGCTTTTACTATTTTCCACATTTTTTTGTAAACTAAGAAAAAAAACGTATGCAAAGTTTTTGCAAACAAGCAGACTGTTGTTTAACCATTTAATGACCTGAGCTAAATGAACCACGTTACAGGCTTGATTCTGAGAAAAAAACAAATAAAGTAGAATGAAGAAATCAAAATATTTGATTTCCTTTTATTATAGGGTTTCTTTAGCGAGCCTTTTGATTCTGATCTACAAAGCCTTACTATTTTTTCAACTATATTTAAAAAAAAACAAAAAAACTGTGGCCCGCGAGCGATTCTAACACGACAATTTTGGCCCACAAGAAAAAAAAGTTTCGACACCACCGCTTTAGGCCATATAAAATAATACAGTGCTGTTGTGTTTAAGGGAAAATCTTCAACAGGGTTTTCTTAAAGATTTTCCTTTATTTGATGGGAGAGTTGATAGAGTAGGAAATCGGAAGAGAGAGCAGGAAATGACATGCAAGAAAGGAGCCGCAGATCGAACTTGAACCCAGTCCACTTGCTTGGAGGACTATTGCCTCCATAGGGTGTGACCTAACCGCTAGGCCATCTGCACCCTGTTAATTGTTTTTTGTCTAGTGTAATTTTCTATGCAGTTTAAATAAATTCCTGATAAACTCTTCCAGTGAGGGTTCAAAAGTGTATATTTTAGCACTTTTTGTTTACATGTAAGCAGTGCATGTATAGCATGCACTTGTCAGTATGCAGTACATTTAAATAGATTAGGTGAGGGTTAAAAATATGTGTGTAACTTTACCACATGAAATGAAATAGATCTGGACATTTGCCCCTTTAATCATAATTTAAAAAAAACTGGCACTGAGGAGGTCATCCATTTTTCATGAAGGATATCCTCCTCCAGTGATAAACGAGTATCGTGCTACTCCTAATGAGGCTTAATTTATTCTATGTTGAAACTGGAGCTGCACTTGTTTCATTTGGCAGATTTCTGCTCTTATTCCTGCTTTTGCTTTGTCGACTCATGAGTTCCTTGCTAGGGCTTGTAGGATCCTCCTGTGTATGTTATACTTTATTTTCCTCTCTATTATAGTAAACTGATATTTTCCAGTGTGTCATTAAGATCTTTAGTAAATGAAGAATGTCTTTGATCTCATGTTACTTCTCACCCTTTGACATGTTTACTCTAAATACATGCAGGTATTATGAATACCAACAGGCACAAAGCAGTCCCACTATCACAAACATGAAGCGCCATCATCTTTGCTCTGCATGTACAGAGTTACAGGAGGTTTAGCTGCCTTGATACCAAAATCTGACACACAGACTCTGGAGTTCATGAATCCCTTTAGGTTTAGTTGAGATGAGTTTAGTTTATTTGCACATTGTTGAAAGAAGAGTCAAACAGGTAAAAGCTAAAAAAAAAAAAAAATCACATGTGTAGGTGAGACCCTCCGGGCTTATCTCAAAACCTCACCTCCAGAGATTAAACAAAGTTGAAATGAAATAACAATAACAAAGCAAAAAACAAACAAATTGAAAATAACAAACAAACATAAATAAAATACAGTTTTTAGAAAATATAACAAAATCAGGACAATTCACTATTCGCTACAAATCTTTCTGACATCAAAGCATTTTTAAGTCTAATTTTGTAGCTTGAAAAATACAAAAATTCATTTAGTAAATACAAATGTGTGTTCCATAATTTGGATCCTCTGTATAGTGTCCTCGAGATGTATGACACATTGGGAAGTATAGGTTATTGATTTGTCAATATGTACATCAGGTTGCATCACAGGACTTGGAGAAAATTGCCATTCTGTCAAAACGTTTCTGCAGCAATAGAATTTTATGAAGATATGTGTGAAAAGTGCTGGCCCATACAATGTTACAGTAAGTAAGATATGGATGTATTAGGCTATAAAATAATATTGGAATACAAGAAGAATGTAAGAAAACACAATTTTTTCTAATAATCCCCAGAGATTGTGTAACCTTACTGCAGACAAAACTGATGTGATCTTGCCATGTAAGTTTCTCATCAATTGAGATCCCTAAATATCTTGTTGATGTTACTTTAGTAATTTCTTCATTTACAATTTCACTAATTCAGAGTTATAATGAATTTTTCCAGCAAATATCATGAAGTTAAATGTTTTCACATTTAATGACATTGTTTACTTCATTCATAAGTACTGACACATTTTTATTTGAGACAAGCTAATTTGTATCATCTGCAAATAATATTGGACATATTATAGGCATCGGGATTCTTTTGGAGTCCATACTGGTGTTCATACAGTATAGTATACATGTTCAAATGTTTAAGGATGTGTTTATATACTAGTTCAAAAGTTTGGAAAAGCATGGAAGAACTGAAATGGGACGGTAGTTTGTAAAATATCCTGGATCACCTGATTTAAAAAGTGGAATAACATTTGCCAGTTTGAGATCATGGACACCGTAAAAATATGTAATAGCGGTTTCAATATTTATCTTTTTACCTCTTTAACAAGGGATATTATATATTATATTATTATATATTATTATTATAACTAATTCTGTCATGACTCAGGCAGATTTGTTTTAGCTCTGTTATAATATCATTGATCTCATTACAGTTAAGAAGTTCAAAAAAGCAAACTGATGGAAAACTACCTCTGATATAATCGGTTGGACTTTCTTTTGTGTGACTAATATTGTTAAAGATGGAAATTCACAAATTCACAAAAAAACTCATTGAATTTGCAGGCAACATCGAAGCGTCTTGTGATGAATGTTTTCCCATCTGAAAAACTAAGATGAAAATTGGTTGGTCCTGTTAAACGCAGGCCCAAACTTGAAGGCTGCCCACTCTCCCTTACCGTCATAAGATCTGACAGTGGGATTTATGGAGTTAACCAGACATCACTTTTGATTGTTCAGTGTTTTCAGAGAGAGTTGTTACTGAGTGGCTGTCATGACGTCACTGACCTATAAAAATGCCAAGAGATCTGTTCCCACCACCTTCCTTTAGACAGGCTTTTCAACAAATCAAAAAATCCAACTTGAGCTGTAAATGAGTCATCCCTCCTGGCCTGTTCGTTGGTTCAGTGGGGTGAAATGTTTTACAATCGGCTGGCACTCGGCCCTCTCCCCTTCCTACTCTCCTTCAATAACTCTCTGAGGAATTATAATATCATGTATCAGTGTACAAATCAAAAGTGTACATGCACCTTCACAGAGGAGTAAAAGCAACACAGTCCTATGAAAACACAATTTAGAAACAAAGATAACACTTAAAGCAGTTGTAGGACACTGCACACATCAAGACTTTTCTTTTCAGGAGTTGTGAAATGCAGTGAGTCACAGACAAAGGAATAAAGCGGCCAATCACTTAGCCGCCCACATGCTGCAATCAAAGGAATAAATATGACTGATGGTGGTGCAGTAATCAGGACTGTTGATTGATCTCAGCCCGTCCCAGTTAGTGTGAGGTTTGAGTGGGAGACCAGACTGTCTGCAGTGTTTTTCTATTCAACACTTGCAGCTGTCCAGCTTTCCCGCTTGTCATCAAGTAATGAAAGGATTTAATTATCACAATGGAATGGATTTTATTATTACTGGATTATTTGTTTTGGTGCAGTTTTTCTATGAACAGTGTAACTACTAATACACGTTGACATAGCAACTCGCGCAGTTATTAGTTACGGGTCTAATATAAGACTACTTTCATTTCTTCCACTACACCAGTACAATGATTAAGTACTCTCTTAAAATAAACAAATGATAACAGTCTTTTTTATTTGGTAGCCCTTAAAAGGAGCAATGTCATGTTGGAACCTTTCAAAATGCTCAAATACGTCTACCATGTGTTCGTGCAGTTTTATTGTTTAATGATGTAAGAGACCTGTAGGTGTAAACACGAAGTAAAACAACAAGAGGCATTGATTAGAGTGAATTCTCATACAAAAACTGTGTAGAGAGCAATATGTTTTCAGTTTTCCCCTGAATTACCTTTTGACATATTTATAATGTGATGCTATGGGACCTCAAAAACTAGATATATTTGTACTCTCTTAAGGGGAAATTAAGTATTTTTCTGTTTTGGTACTGTTAATTTGGCACAGCACCAAAGTAGTACCTACTTATTCTGCTGAAGAGCCGGCCACACCAGCTGCTCACAGTGAATATTTCCAATGGCAGAAATCTCAACACATTCAATCGGCATAACTTGAAAAAGGAAAAAACTCTACCCAGTTACCAAATCAAACATAAACGGACCTCTTTTGCCCTCTGGTGGAGAAAGATTTCTGTGTGTCACTGTATAAACTGACAAACTTAAAGCAGTTTTTTTTTTAAATTGAGATGATGTCTTTATTTCGAACACGTAAAAAAATATGTAGAAAGCAAATACACAACAAAAGAAAAATTGGCCATAAGTCCTTCACTCGCTCTTACATTTGCCATGCCTGAAAAGGAGTAGGAAGAAGTTCTAACGTATTGAATCCTACCCCTTTTTGTCTCAACTTTATTATTATGAATTTTACGAATATACAATATTAGAACAAGTATTTTTCAGTGTGTACTGGCATGTATAGTCAAATGATTATCTGCATTGTCTCTCTTGTTGGATTAATACTTTTTAAGCTTTTAGGTCAGAATGGTTTAATGTGTGTGGTTTGCACAGATATTCATAAAAAATGTGAGTTCTATTTTGAGTGGTGATATCGTTACTGCATTGCTGATAGCTCACAATTACATTGGTAATCTGTAAATCAGATTTATGATTGAATGTCCACCTCATTGCTCATGTTTTTATTTCTGTTTAGATATTGAACCCCTTCCTGTCTCTCCCTGTGTCTCCTCCAGAGTGTGAAGATGCCATATTCTGTCGACTCCTTCCCAACAGAAACACTCATCTCTGAAACTTTCTCTCTGGGCTTCTACTCCAGCAGTGAACGCACCACAGAGCTGTACTCGGCAGAAAGCTTCATCCCCAGCATCGACAACATCAGCAGGTCGAGTGGCCACCACTGCACCTATAAAGAAGACTTCAAACGTATTTTACTCCCTCTCGTGTATAGCTTTGTGTTTGTGCTTGGCCTTCCTCTAAACGCAGCTGTTATACTGAATATATGGAGGACTCGACCACATCTGTCCAAAAACAACATCTACATGCTCAACTTAGCCATAGCCGACTTTCTGTACGTGTTGTCCCTTCCCCTGCTCATCTACAACTACGGCAGCCATGACTACTGGCCCTTTGGGGAGTTTTGCTGTAAACTGGTCCGGTTTCAGTTCTACAGGTGAGATCCTTTTCTGAATATTGACTAATTCTTTTTTTATATAGTCGTGTGTTAGAAGCATTAAAAGATAAATAATACAACCAATAGCGCACTCTTGTGGACGTATTTTGAAATGAATGGTGTTTTATGTTGGTGTCATGGTACAATAATACGATTCAAACAGCACTTTTCTCTGCTGAAAGTCTAGGCGTTTTTTAGAGCTCCATTAAATTCTTGGTCTTGTATATGAGGTCATTATGTTGCACAAAATCTGTGCTTACACAAAGAATTTCACTCCTTCCAATTCAAGGAATTAATCAGCACCATTTTACTGTGGTGCTGACCCCCTAACTTCCTGTTATCAGCCAAATATACATTGTTATGTGACTAGCTTATATAATCTTTAATGTAGTTGTAATCAGACATATCTGATCTGATCTGTATTTGTTTTGACCAAAGAAGGTAGGTGGTTTTAAGGCACTGCCATACTGCCGTTTTGGATGCCCCTCGTTTTGCTAGGTAAACAGCAAACCAACAGTGAAGGAAGCAGGCAAGAGAACTGGTTCAGATATAACTGATTCTACCCAACCTCAAGCCTCTGCATTTTTCTAATAAGCTCGACGACCAGACATGTGGTGAAACTGGGATAAATATTGGAGATGCTTTTGAAAAATTTGGAGAGGTTAGAACTCAGATTCTTTCATGATCGATGCAGAGCTGGTTAAACACTGAAGCTTTAGTGTCCACTACGTAGCAACCTGCATGCACATTCAATCTAGGGAGGAGGGGGCAGAGGGAGACAGCTCTGTTCAATGTTTTGAATTTCGACTGCAGTACCTATTTTAAATGCCAGGCGTCAGAGTTACGTACATATAGCTCCTTTAAAAAACATCTATCAAATGTAGACTGCTCATTGACGCTGAACAGGAGGAATTGAAATAAGTTGCACACCAGCTTTTCTGTAATTTTTTTTACTTTGCTTTGCAGAGGTTTGATACAAGGTTACACCGCCATATACAGTACAAATGTAATTGTAATAAAATGCAAAACTGAAGAATGAAGAGTTGATTGAACAATATTTTCTGTCTTACACTTTCCTGTTTTAAGTAATCTACATGGCAGCATCCTCTTCCTCACCTGCATCAGCGTGCACCGCTACGTGGGAATTTGCCATCCTCTCGCCATGTGGCTGAAACAAGGTGGATCCAGGCTGGCATGGTGTATCTGTGGAGGGGTTTGGCTTGTGGTCGCCATCCTGTGCGCCCCAACTTTTCACTTTGCAGCAATAGGAATCCAGAGAAACCGCACTGTGTGTTATGACTTAAGCACACCAAATAAATCACTAGACTACTACCCTTACGGCATGGCTCTGACCTGCCTCGGCTTCTTGTTGCCTTTTATGGTCGTGTTGGTGTGCTACTGTCGTATGGCCCACATCCTTTGCCGCCCGGTTTCCTACCAGGGTATCACCTTGGGAACTGGGGAGAAACGAGACAAAGCGGTGAGGATGATCATTTTGGTGACTACAGTTTTCTGCATAAGCTTCCTGCCGTTTCACCTCACAAAGACCATGTACCTGGTGATACGAACTCTGTCTGGTGCCCCGTGTGAGACAAGAAACCTGTTCTCCATCGTCTATAAGAGCACCAGGCCGTTCGCCAGCATGAACAGCTTGCTGGACCCCATCCTTTTTTACTTCACTCAGCCTCGCTACCGCAGGAGCACCAAGAGGTTTATGGTCAGAATCACCACCCTGAAGGAGAAGGGCACCAATGTGTGAGGCAACAGAACCTCATATTCTGCCAAAGTATTTCTTAAAGACTTGATGATGTACAAGCAGTGGACCTTATGATGTGGCATAATAGTACATGCAATGGTTGCAGAGTTTTGCAACAGGTTTCCTGTGCATGTTCTAAGGTAACCTGCAGTCCTTTGTGCGCTTAATAACTACTGTTCACTGTGTCAAAGAACTGTATCTCCCTGAGAGGGTCTCAATAAGGGTTTTAGGCACTGACATGTCAAGAAGCCTCCTGAAAGGAAACACAATGATTGTAATGTTGTTATGAGGAAGGTAAAAGTCATAAAAGAAAGATAAAAGTCAGAAAACAAGGAGGTGTGTAATCGTAAATTGGCTTTATTAAGCTATGGAAGTTTCTCTTTGAAATTCAGACATTTTATTCACTATTATTTAATCACTTTTATGGCATAGCACTACTGTTCCTGCCCTTTCTACACTGTAAATGATGACTATAGCAGCAGAATACCAGGACATTCACATCCTGCAGATTCTCTGTTATCTGTGAAATTTTACTGTCAATCTGAACTGTGAACAGTGTAGTTTATGTATTTTATATAATGTTAAACACTGTGAACTACAGTATAAACTAAACTAAACCAAACAAAATATAGAACCAAGAATGAAAGGTGAATTTTGTTTTGTGTTACGTGGAGGTGGTGATAAAATTGTAAAGAGAAGGAAATCTCATTAAAATGCACTGCGGCACAGAGCCTTGTATAATGCCAAAAGACATTTAAAATGTCTATGACTGCATGTTTGACGTGCATGAAGCACTTCTGTGTGGAAATGAAAACATTACTGTGTCAAAGAATGTCTGTAAAAGTTGTTCAAGTGATGAATGTATATAATACTGTTCTTCCGTTCTTCCCTCTTAATGTAACACATTGTTCCAATGTAAAAAAGTTTTAAGGTTGGTTGTTGCATGTTTTGACCACTAGGTGATGAACGCTCCACACTGCTACTCCCCTGCACTGGCACTCTGGTTCTGTTCTGTTCTTGCTTTTGAATTGTTTGTGAATGTGTGATCCAACAATGATTACATCTTACCTACTACAATCAGAGATACACTGATGCCAACAAACTTTAATTATTCAGCTCATATCAAACTAAAAGAGGCCATCTCACCATGGCTTTCTCCACATGTCCTTCAAACAAAAGAAATCCTTTAAAACCTTGTGGAAACAACAATTTATGCATGTTTAAAAATCCACACCAGGTACCTTAGATGCTTAAAAGAAAATTTCAAACAAACTAGGGCTCGGTCTAATTAAGACTGAACTTTCTGCTATAAGAGATGAAAAAATTATAAACTACAGAAAAAGTGAATATCTAAAAAAGGGAGCTCTCATAGAGGGGATTTACATTACACTCGTTATTTACTATTTAGAACCGTTTTAATGACTTCAAACTGGATATACATGCTAAGTCTCTTCAGTGTGTAACTTAAAGGGAATAATACTTTCAAAGTTACTTTTTGTATTTTTAACAGAATAAAATGAGGTAACTGAGCTACTTAGTGTATGATTTGGTTATCAGTAATGTTCATGAGTTGAACATCAAGGGGCCATATTGAAGTGTATCAAACAAACAGTGGAAACACATTTTATGTACACAGTTCATGTAGGTCACTGCAGAGATCATGTTCTTTTAACGTTGTTGCTGTCAACTAATTTGATCAGATTTAAAATCATACAGTGTATTGACTTGTATAAGATGATGCTCTCACTGCTAACATGAATGAATCCTGATTATAATCTAAATCTGCCTTAGCCAGGTAGGCTAATCCATGGACTACACCAGAAACTCTGAACCTCTCTGTGTTGATATTTAGAGGTGAAATTAAACTGAAATGACTGGTGTAATCTTTAATTCAGATTGAAAAATAAATTCACCAGCAACTTTAAAACTGCTGTCAACGAGGCAGCTTTACGACCACATCACTTACAGGTAGTTCAAACTTGCAAACATTGTTTGAGTTTTGCACCCATGAGGGAAGAAATGTAATATTTATCGGTTTATGAACATATAAGTTTCATGCCTTACAAATGCAAGGGATTTTTCTTTTACCAAATGATGACATCATGTGCTTCAAAATGTTAGAAACGTATATGTTTGTCTGTACAGCATGCATATTCAGTGATGTACTAGTATACTGTATGTTGTGTGAGAGTAACTACTTTGTCAAATATTTGTGATGAGGGTCTGAAATGAAAAGTGTGTGTGTTTAAAAAGATGTCTCTGCACTGTGCCAATGCATTTTTAGTCAGTGTTATTTTGAAGAAGTCTTATTTTTGTAAAACCATATAATAGAGTAGTATCTGAAGTATAATTTTATTTTTGTTACATAGAATCATTTTAATATAGGCTATATATTTTTTCTCTGACAAAGCTGCCTTCTTGACTTATCTTGTGAAATTCTTTGAATGTTGTCTGTAAGTAAAACTAACCATTAAAAAGGTCACACAAGCCTAACTTGATTTCTTTTCTACTGGATATTGTTCTACACTGTCCTCTTCACAATGCAAAGTGAACCATATTGGTTAAGGTGGCTAAGTCCAATTTTAAGACGGGAGGCCAATTAGAAGATAATAGACCTCTAAAGCAACACAATGCTTTTAGACTCCACTATAAAAATTCACACCTTATCATTACTTTTTATGATTCATATTATATGTCTGATGATTACATTACATGACTTGTTGTCTGTCTCTATATATCAACCCTGTGATTGACTGGCAAACAGTCCAGGGTGTACCCTACCTCTCGCCCAATGACAGCTGGGATCAGCTCCGGCCCCCTGCGACCCCAAAACGGAAAAGGTGGTATAGATAATGCATGGATGGATGGATTACATGACTTTTACCTGCAACAGCTTTTGATTAAGGGGGACATTTTTAAAATACAAAAACCTGCAGACAAGTTCATGTAGCATCTCAACTCTTTCAGAAGAGGATTTGACTTGTTCTAAGATGATTATACAGTATGTCAGCATTGACCTGACATTGCACAGGTCAGACTATAGAGGGCGCTGCAGTCAACATCTCCTCTGAAGCTCAGGGTTCCTGCCTGGAACAAAAGGACCTGTTAACCAGACAGCCACATGGGAAGCACCACAGAGGGGTTATTGTCTATGAGTGAACACTTTTTTTTTTCTCTTCTCCCCCCAGAATGCTGACACCCCTGTTCACTATCACACCTCCACGACACTGTGGGAAATCGAGCTAATGCTGAATTTGAGCTCCCAATGTTAAATTAAAGTGTTGGCCTATTTTCTGCCTTACTATATGACAATTTACCTCTAAAGGAAAAACAGAAAAGAAAAAAAAGAATTGTACACGTTAGGCTACTGTAAATTACAAATCCAATGTGTGTTGTCAAGTGTTTATATGGGAGATATTTGGGTTTTTGAGACACTGCTGCAGTTTGAAAACTTTTTTTTTTCTTTAAATGTGCAGTTTTCTGTCTTAAACTCCCTACAGTGCAACTGTCCTTTTTCACGAGGGAACGGGCTATAATTACACCCAGTTTATACACAGTATCTGTCTTCTGCTATCAAAAAAGAAGCTTTTTCCTCTCAATTCCCGAGGGGGCCATGTCAGCCCCCTAGTCCCGCCCACCCCCCTCTGCCCTATCTCAGACATTAACATGCAAAAAAACAACATAAGTCACGGAAAACCAAATCATGCCAAAATAAGGAATCCACTAACTGTTTGGGAATTAGCAGGGGATGATGTGTCGGGCCTGTGCAGGCGTGCTCACCTGGGCAGACTTTTTTTGGAAATAACAGAGGATAACAATGGAAAAGTTTGTGTTTGTGAACAGGTTGGGAAAGATTTAGCCCCCCTAAAAGTTGTTTCGCTTTTCCTCCGAGTACGGATGCGGTTTCCTGGAATCGACAACAATGTAAGTTCTGAAACACAGTAGCGCCTAACTTTCTCACTGAACTTTTAATCACTTGACACACCGTTGCGGTTTGATGCTTTGCCAACAATTTAGTTTACAACAACTGATTGTCGCTGGGGTTTCATGTCGTTAGCGTGCAGGGAGAATGGACCACAACCCCAAAAGGTGCTTGGATCTGTTGTACGCGTGAGGTTAAAATGTTCCTTTGAAATCAAAGCAAGACAGACATGAACAATGGCAGAAAGAGAGAAGAAGAAGAAGAATGCAGCCGTCTATCGCAGTGTTTCTTTTAAAAAGTTGGGGTCCTGGAGCACTAACAGGAGTGAAAACCAGCGGCACAAATCAGAGGATTTGGAGGCAGCTGGCGTCGCCCTTCCCCCGGAGCCCAGCAAAGCAGAACAATCCTTGGCGACGCGTAATGTCAGTGTGTCAAGAAAAGTTTCCAAAATCACTGCCACCACCGCCAGCCTCCCAACCGCAGATTCCAAGCGAGGCTCCTCCACTCCTCTCTCTTCTATTTCTCCATCCATCCGCCAGCTCACTGAGAAATTCAAAAGCTCCTCCAGGACGCCCAGAGCCTCACCGGGAGACGGCGCAGCAGTGACGCGGGGGAGCAGCACTCTTCCCCGGGACAGGGGCTACACCGACCCGTCTCCATCTCGTTTATCGTGGAACGAGGAAATCAGTGGTGTGTGTTTCCGGGATAGTGACACTACTTCTACTAAAGATTTCCCTTCAGACAATAAGGTGCAAAGGTTTCTCTCCGGCACAGACTCTGTGTCAGGCTCGGACACAGAGAAGAAAAGGGAGAAGCGGATTTTTACACGTTTATCATCGGACAGCAGCAGCAACTCTGGTAAGAGAGACTATTCACAGATCAATCCATGTCCCTCTGATTGTAAAAAGAGTTTGACTACAGATGAGGTAGAGGAGTTTATTATCAGAGGGGCTCCTCCACCCTGTAAATCTCACAGAAGTTATCTTTCTACACACCATAGTGATTTTGTTCCCCTGCACTCAGACAAGTGGCCCAGTGTCACCAAAATCAGGCAAATATTTGATGAGAGACAAAGCACATCTAAGCAGCGGTGCAAGACTGACACTTGTGTGAATTTAAAAGCTGCAGACAGAGGCTCTCTACAACAGCTCAGCCCCAGTGAGAGCGCTGCTCTCTCGGATAGAGGTGACAAACTCTCACCTTGCAGCTCTGCCAATGAAGCCAGTACCCTGTCTTTGCATGAAAAATGCATAGTGGGGGCACAAAGCAAAGAAAACAGTGCTGCTAAACAAGCTTTGTGTCACGATATGGACTTTTATGCCAAAACTGACCAGCAGCATTTCTCAAATGATGAAGAAGTGGACATAGAGACACAGCGTTTGAAAAAGGAAACAGTTAGTGTAAAAAATACTTTTCCTAGCAGCAGGAGCAACAGTAGCAGTCACAATTGCTCGGGGGGTTGCCACTACCAAAGGATTAGACCAACTCCATACAGATCTCATAGTCCCAGCACTGAATCAGAGGCTGCCCATGAGACCCACAGGACAACAGTTTTGACATCTGACCCCGGCCCTGACCTTCAGCCCCCTGCTACTTCGTCTTTGAGTCGATCCCTGAGCTTGGACACCTCCTCCTGCTCCTCCTCTCGTCAGCAGCCGACAGTGAGGGAGAGAAAGGATAGACAGGGGGTCGGGCTGCCCAGGGATAGTTTACATTCCTCACATAGCTCCTCTAGAGCGCCAGCCCCCACCACCTCCTCCTCCTCCCCCCCCTCTTCTGCTCCAGCTTCAGATAAAGCCATTACCTCCTCCTTTACTGTAGCTCCCTCCACTGAGCTAAGAGCCCCAACAAGAGTTGTCTCTCCTCTCAGCTCCCGCTGGAGGTTCAGCTCTGGAGACGAAGAGGAAGAGCACACCAGGAGAAGAAGAGGAGGTGGAGGGGGCAGTTGGAGTGGTCCTTCTGGCCTGGTTCCTTCCATCTCCTGCAGACCAGGAGAAAGGGGTGCCACAGAGCGAGGAGGCAGCTATTTATCCCGCACAAAAAATGGCTGGTGGGGTGCAAAGGGCATTGGTAGGTCTTCAGGCAGCGAGGAGGACAGTCCTGGTTCTTTAGGCCCCCACAGTCGAGAGGCAGTGCGTCGCCGCTCTCTGAGAAAGAAGAAGAAGGTCATTGGCGCTCTCGCAACAAGCCATGATGATTATGATGATCATGATGGCGAATCAGAAGACAGTGACAGTGACACAGCCTTGACAATGGAGCACTTACAGAGGCGCCATCAGCAAAACACTGGAGGAGAATCGATGGCAACAGTGTCTCGGAGCCACTCTGCAAGACTACCCAGCAGTCCCAGTAACAGAGCCAGGGTGCAGCAATGGGAGCGCATCATGTCACCAACTTGCAAGACACTTCCTGGTGTATCACGAGTGTCAAAGGTCAATATCCTCCCATTTGCGTCTAGCCCTGCTGGTTCACGATGTAGCAGCAGATACTCCAGCACTGAGACACTGAAGGAGGAGGACCAGACCAGCAGCACCAACCCCGCATCAAATATGATGGTAAATATGGGTGTGACAGGAGGAGGCACGAGCAGGACTGCATCCTCATCCATGCTGAGTAAAACCTACCATGGGAATTTCACTATGTATCGCTCCCCAAGCTTTGGCCATGGGGATAACTTTTCCCGAACCCCTTTGCGGGGGCGACCCAAGATTGTCACACCCTTATCTAGTGTGCTTGGCAGAGATAGTGTCGTATCTGCAGGGGTAAGAGTTGGAGAGAGCGTGGAATTAAAGAGGACAACAGATGGGGGTATAGTAGATGAAAAAGGTAATAACCAAATCCACATGTCCAACCCAGATATCACATCAGAAACTATGTCACTGCTAAGTTTCCTGAAATCTGATCTGTCAGAGCTTAAGGTAAGGAAAACGAGTGGCGACAAATCGGGGGTCATGGAGGGGTCATCGGTGTACAGGATGGGGTCTAGGACTCATGGCGGTACCGTTCTACCTTCTGGCCAACGTCCATCCCTGAAAGACCTCACTGCCACTCTGCGGCGTGCAAAATCCTTCACTTATCCTGACAAACCCATAACATCCGGGAAGGGTTCCTTGACTGGTGGCCCCACAAAGAGGAGCTTCTCTGACCAGCAGCTTGACCTGGATGGAGAGAGGGATGGAGGGAGGGGGTCGTCTGTGTCAGAAAGGGAAGTAGAAAGTGATGGGGGTGATTTTAGGACTGGGAGAGGGCAAAAGATGAGGGACTTTGGATTTGATGATGATGAAGAGGAAGTTATTCCTCCACTACAGGAGAAATATGTGATGGAGGCCAGGCAGGTCATTCGAGATATCTGCCAGATGAGTTCTAGAGAAGATGAAAACGATGAAGCTGCAAGGAAAGCTGACATTTATTTGAAGGATGATGTTTTTCAGGTGAAGAAAACAAATGAGAAGGAGACATCAGGAGAGAGCATTCAGGATGAGGCAAGGAAAGATCAAGGGGCTGAATTCAAAATCACAAAAGACAGGGATAAACATGAGAGGGAGAGAGAGAACAGGGAGAGGAGCGAGAGGGATGGACAAAGTGTGCAGTTGGAGAAGTTAAACAACAGAGGCACAGAGTATAGAGAGAAGGCAAAGAGACAGAACACAGAGACGGAGAGAGCCTTACCAAAGGGTGAATCAGAGGAAAACATGTTCTACGACCACTCTGTGGATGAGCTCTCAGGCCATGAGTCTAGTTTAACAGATGAAGGAATTGTAACAGAGCCAGAGACAGGCCCCAATGACCCTACTGAGAGGTCATTCCTGGGGTCAGCAGGAGTTAATATGGGGTCACAGGTTGCTAAGGATGTGCTAGGGCAGCCAGTCACCATATGGAAGCAGTCAGCTCTCCATGAGGCAGAAGGGTTTAAGAAGGAAAAAGAAGAAATGACAGAGAATGACATGCATTGTAAAAATGGTCCAAATGAAGTCAGTGTACCTCCCTCCTTGCCGATTCCTGCCCTGATTGTTGAGAGTGACAGTGACAATGTGAACTCTACAAGCGAAGAAATCAACGCTCCCAGCGCTGTGTCACAGAGGTCAGCGGGCGCCGCAGGGGGAGCTCTTGATTCCCCTGCAACCCCAAGTGCTATCCGCCGAAGACGCAAGTTCTCTCTCTCTGGTAATAACAACACGGGCTCTGATTCCAGTAATGGCAGTAATGCAGAATCAACAACAGCAGCAGCTGGTGGAAATGGAGAGTCCACGGTCTACCGCTCCCTCAGTGACCCCATGCCTCAGCGGCGCTGTTCCTTGGCAGAAGATGGGAACAACTTTTCCTCTGTAGACAGCAACCTGTTAGGATCACTGTCAGTCAAAGGGGGAAGTGCTTCAGAGGCCTCTGCTGTGGTGGCTTCATCAGAATATAAAGGAAGTGTGGCCAGCGACTTGTCTGTTTACAGCGATGTTGGGCTCCGTGATGATATCGTCGGTGACTACAGTGGGGTGATAAGGAGCATTGTGGCTGAGCCAGGTGCAATGGACAAACTGATGACAGATGATCACGGCAATGGCAAAGCCCCGAAGAAGAAATCATTCAGTGACCCCAGTCGCCGTAGTGTTGCCCCTTTGCTCTCTCAGCATGACCCCGAATTCAAAAATCCAACCAGAAGCACACAGCCAATCAGTGAACTGGATCAACCTGGCCAGATCCCACCATCCAGCAGTGAGCCCATCCTGAGTGAGCAGAGAGAGGAACTGTGGGAGCCAGAAGTCAAACCTCAGTCAGCATTGCTGACTCAGCCATATCACCATACAAACAGCAGCAACAAATTCAAGGTTCGTTCCCAATCAGAAAGCATCCACTCTGAAAACCTTGATGATGAAGATGATAATGTAATAGACCAGGGTGAAGAGGAGAAAGAGTTGCAAAAGTTGAACTTTGACCTCAAGCTAGCTGGTGTACTGTCCCCTAGAATGGTTCGTCGGCCTGCAAAAAGGCGTCCCAACAGGCTGGCTCAGTTTTTTCCTCATGAGGACCCAATTGAGCCCCAAGAACTGGGGTCAGAGGAGCAGGAGGATCAAAGCGACCCAAATGATCTCACCCCTCCTCTTCCCTCTCCCCTACTTCATTCCAAACCTAAAACCAGACCCAAGCATGTCCGCCATGCGAGTGAACCAACCACATTCATACCAATCTCCCCACCTCCTCAACTTCAAGCACTGAGGGAAGCAGACTGTCTCGCTGTTGGACCCACTACAGAGATTCCCATCTTAACCAAGCCTCCAGGAGATGAGACCCCATCACTGGAGGATGTGACCCAGAAATATATTCTGGATCTGAGCACAGCTGAGGGGGACACTGAGGGCCAAGGGCCTCCTCCAGCGGCCAGGGATGGAGCTGAAAGATTGGTGTCAGCTTCAGAAGGGCACAGTGAGTCCAGCACCAGTGGAATTACAAAAGCTGGACCACAGACGAAGAGCATGGAGGACACTGCGTCCACAGCTTCACCACAGAGGACCAAACCCAGAGTGGTGAGTCCACATTTTTTTTTTTGCTTATTTCATTGCTGTGTCTGCAAGTGCAAGGATGGCATGCTAACTCCTCTGATGTTGCATGGAGTCTTTGACTTTGTCGTGTATGATTTTTCAACAAGTGAGGTTTGATGTAGCAAGAAAAAAGATGTGAGTGATCGGAAATTGTTCTTCTCTTTATCAGATATCAGAGATATAATTTACTGAATATTAACCATAACAATGGGAGGTAGATGCGGTTTAAGGCAAAACCTCTTTCAAAACAGCAACTTTTGTTGTCTTTTACAGTTGTCTTGTTCTCATGGGTTCGTATTAATAACACCAAAGGTGCATGTGTGCGTCCCTTTTGTTTTTATGAGGCACTGTGATCAGAACTGTTACGGTTTCTTTCAGAGTGCATTTGGGATCAGTTTGGAAATACAAAGGCCATTCAAGGCTGAGCAGTGTTAAACAAACATCAGAGGATGTTATTAGTCTGATCAAATAAATCTAAAGCAAATGACATTAAGGGATGTCAGGCCTGCTGAATGTGTGTGTGTGTCTGTTTTTCATTTATTTATTTCATTCAATATTGATCGTCTCTGCGCAAGGATTATAGTCATAGAGCGGGATATTATAAACAGCTCACCTAAACATAGATTGGGTGTGTGGTGTCTGGGATGCTGCCTTTTCTCAACAGTGTCTAAACATTGGAAGCCTCTTTCTGGATTGTTGTATAACTGTATTACACAGGTTAACTGATTGGGCGCTGAGCAAGAATCTATTCTCAGTTTATAAACGTACATAAGATGATAAATTCAGAGTATAAGAGTATAATTTAAAATACAAGTCGAATTATTACGAACATCTACACAGCAGCCACTCATGATGTTCGACTGTCATAATACAAAGCAGTGGGAAGTTAATAAGTCTGTGTGACTAGGCATTCTGACTTTCTTTGGCTATGTCATTCATTTGTAGCCACACACACACACACACTCACACACTTTCTCTCCTGGAGGTCTCTACCTGAAGTATAAAGCTGTTATTTTTTCATGGGTGTGACTTTGAATAGGTGTGGAGGCATCCTGTCTGAGCTCAGTATACAGACACAACACATGCAAAGTGATTAACTTTCATAACAACATTACTTACTTTTTTATTAGTGATCAGGAAACCAAATGTTGCCTTATTTGTCACAGCTTGTCATTCACTATTTTTGGATATGTTACATTTGCTAAAAAACATTATTTACTTGGTTTGCTGGTTACCTCTTAAAGTTGTGTCTCACAAAGCTGCTTTGAAGCCCATTTGTATGCATTCTGGTCCACATTAGTTGTTTTTGATTCTACTTCCTTGCCTATTGTTCTTCCTTGTTTCTTTTGCATCAGTAGCAGAAGCTGGCGAGTGATCTCACCAAGCAGGAAATGGGTTTTTCAGAAACAGGAAGTTGTTGGGGTTACTGAAGTGTTTGATGATGTCCAGTGCTACCGGACTGGCTTGTGTGAGTGCACTCCATTGTGTTAAGTGTGTGTGTGCACATTTGTGACTTGCCTGCATTAAAAGCTGGTTTCCTCTTTATTCTGCTGTTGTGAAGACCACGTGTGTGAATCTGCATATTGTTTGTCTGGAATATATCAATGGCTTGTTCAAATCAAAGGGACCCAGAGTTTTGCCAACATACTGTGTATAGAGACTGCCTAACAGCACTGGTGTGAAGAAGTGTGTTTTTAAGATTTAGATTGAAATGAATAACTGGCTAGCCAAAACACCAAAAACAGCTTTTTAGAAAGAAAGACAGGGAAACAGAGATAATGGAGAGAGGTAGAGATCTGTCCTTTTCCTTTTCTGGAAGGAGTACCCACATTCTGACATCACGTCTTTCTTATGTCTTTTTTTTAATTAGATCTTAATAAATGTTCCAGATTTACTGTCGTCTTATTGCTCTTCCTTTTCTCCTGGTTTCCATCATCGTCAGTCTAGATGTTGGGCCAAAATCTGTCGACAAAAATAACTCCCATCAGTATGCTGATGTAGTTACTTTCACCCCATCATTGTTGGCCTTTTATTCTTTTTAATTTTCCGAATCGTTATTCTCTTTGCAGTCTTGCTCTGTGTCTGTGGAACATTGCAGGGAAGTGAAGTCATAGTGTTTGTCTCTGTGTGAGGCAGGCTGACGAGCCAAAGTGTCAGGTGGGGAGAGAAAGAAAGAAGGAGACAAAAAAAAAGAAAAGCAATAGAAGGAAACACTTGCAAGCTAAAAAAAAAAGTGTACAGGATCAAAATAGAACTGAGAGAGAGCTGAAGAATGAAACTGTGATGGAGGGAGGGGGGATGAGGGGCATGAAAGAAGGTGCTTTATACTAAAGGCTGGGGTTTAAACCAATCAGAGGTGTGTCATGAGTACAAATTATTACTTTTTCACCCACTTGAGTTAAACTATATTTTAAGAGTGTCTGTTGAGTATCAATTTGGGGGATGATGGAAAAAACACATGGGCTATATTACCAAAGTGCTACCTCTTGGACTGAGAAAACAAGCTAATGCAGGAGAGCAAAATACCTGCAGTTTCTCTAATGGCAGAATTTAATGAAAACTGAATTTGAATCCCCTCCAAGTTGCAAGTTGCTATGTTCTACAAGCTCTGTTGGCTGTTTAAGTCTGATAATTAAAAGAAGCGACCACCTCTAAAGGAATACAATTCTGAGTGATTTTGAACTGGTCACACTCACTTTTTGGCTTTGATAACTTAGCATTTGCTAACCCTTATGCCCAAATACTTCTGGCTCCAGACCACCAACATGTTGAAAGTCAAAATTAAGTCTCGACAAGTCCTCACAATGGTTAGGCATTTTTCTGTGTGTGTGTGCATTTGAATTGACCTGCTTTATGATTTAACAAAACAAGCCAAATCCCTGATAGATTCTTTATTAATCGTGCTTCATACATACATGCTAATTGATTTAAACGCTAATTGATTTAAAAGTATTCTGTCTCTTACTCTTCATCCTGTTAATGAGTCATATACAGGTTGAGGAGGGAGCTAAGAGGAGTGCTTAAAACATAGAGAATAGAAAGCACTAAGAGGAAGAGAGGAGACAGAAAGTTTAGTTTGTGCTCTGTTCTGCATGGATTAGGACTAAAAGCAAAGTGTTTATAGCTTCAGATTTATGACTGACTTTGTTTTATCAGGCCACCCACATGGAATCAAATACGTTCCCTCTGCTCAATCTCTTGCTTTTACTCCTCCCTCCTCTCCAAATGAAGTCGTGCCATGAGTAAAGGTAGACATGCATAGATACTGACCAGCAGTAAGCTGGTTTGTTCTATGCTCAGTGCTGTGTGTATGCATGTGTGTGCATCTGGTGCCCCTGCTGTTTATTTACAAGTCGTGCTTCCGCAACGCTTAACGTTTAATCCCATTGGGACACCAGTGTTACGCAATGTGTGAAATCGTTGGAATTGTAAACGGAAAAAAAATTGCAAGAAACTGCAATGTTAATTCATCTGTGGCAATATTAGATTCCAACAAAGACTAATTAAGTTAACTTATTAACAGTGTGAATAACAGTGTGGTAACCCTTCTGTTCTTCAGTACAGTATGATTTTCTTTCTGCTCTTTAGTTCAGATTGGGATTCCGTTGAACTACACGTAGCATTGATATAAAGGCAAATATTCTCATTACAGCATTGTATGCTTCGTCTGCTTCTCGTGTCGGGAGACCCCGTCCCCCCTCCTGTCTGTAATAATCTCCCAATGTGAGGTGTATTATGTGAACAGCCAAATCAGGAGAATATCCAGAGCATTCCTCCTGAAATGATCTTGATATTTTCAGGAGTGTAAATTTGAAACCGGCTTTAGTGACTTTGACATACTGATGGGGTTGAGAACAAAAGAGAAATACACTTAAACATTTTAGCATTTTGACATCTCGATGGCAACCCCAAAGAAATAACTTGTAGTGATTGAACAACTAGTTTTTTGTATATTATTAATTCACTTCCTTTTTGTGTTGTGCATACATTTAACCTTGTCCAATAGCAATATCCTCCCTCCTAAATTAAATGCAGTTTCCAGGGCTGCTTCTATTCTGTTACAAAAAGCTTTGGGCGGAAATGCACCATCAAACCTTTTTTTGTTTGTGATCAAAGGACAGGAAGGAGCTCATTCAGAAAGTCACTTGCTCGTTTGAAAGAAGACTTAAAAGGAAAGTTAAAGGACATATAGCGCCCATGCTTATAAAGGATTTGGCGGTTCTAGGGGTTCTTTTTTTAACCTGCAAAGGTCAACCCCCATTTAGTTTCGTCTGAAAAGTCAGGGATGTTGAGCGAGGTAAAGGTGAACCAGAGATAAAAAGGATGAGGATGTGTTTTGTTCTGATTGAAGGCCTCTGTGACTCAGCGGATGAGAAGGAAGAGGTGGGATGAATCAGAATCAGAAAAAGGCCACAGTGCAGATACCTGCAGTTTCAACGACATAGAATACAAACCTGACTGCAGACATGACTTTTCCATTACCTAACACTTCCACCTTAGGATGGGTACTGTAGCTATACTGGAGAAGTTGTGTGACTCTATTTGGATAATTTGATTGCATCCAAATACATTTGGCTGGTTGAGGTGTTTTTAAAGCAATATTTTACCAAACGAAGCTAAAAAGCAACTTCGGGACCAAACAATTTCCCCTAATGTTTGCAAAGGTTTCTGTTCTGTGTTTGGGGTTCCACAGGAACAAATGGGGCCGTCACAGTTGAGTGTGCATTGGTTGGGCTGTGGGACATTTGAGGGGCTAATTCTGGAAAAGTCAGTTTGATAGATAAATAAGCCTAGACAATTGTGCATGTGAGCTTGTTTGTCAGTCACATAGGTGCAGCCATTGGGAATGAAAGACTCATAGATAAGTTACTGTCTTGCGGTTTGCATCCTACAACATGGTCTTTTTGGTCAATCCTCAATTGTAGAAGCTTATGACTCTCGTGCGCTCTCATTATCATACTTATATCATTTTCCATTGTTTGCAA